AGCTTTATTTTTATTTATTTTTTTAATAAATTTTTATTTGACATTTATGATGGGCATTTACATTATGTGAATTTTTTCTCGCTTCATATTTATCTGTGTCCACACAAGTCCTTGCCTTGATTATAATAGCTTGCATTCATTTGTTTTATTTTAATTCATTTAAATTTTATTTGTTTAAGAATAGCCGAATATGGATACAAGTGAATGCTTTTCTCCACTATCCTAGGACTTTTTATTCATATAGTTGCATTAATGTATGATTCATTGTCCTATGCTTCTACCATTGCTGCCCCTACCACTATTTCATACATAGGAACATTAAGTTTGCTTTTCTTTTATTTTTTAAGATTTATTTATTTTTATACAAGAGCTGGGGTATAGGCCAGAGACACGGGAGAGGGAGAGGATTCACCAGAGACAGAACAGGGAGCAGAACAGGCAGATGACAAGAATACACTGCTGAGGGGAGCAGCGGATGCGACAGGAGAGGTCTGCGGGGCAATGTGGGTTCTTGCCTGCGGCGCAATGTGGGTTCTTGCCTGCAGCCGGGATCAGTCTGCACTGCAGAGGCTGCGGACAGCTTCACAGCATGGCGCTCAACCCACTGCACCACTGGGGAGGCCCAAGTTTGCTTTACTTAATGAATATGAAAAAATATTGATTTATTAGATTTTATACATGAAAAGAGGAAATATTATTCAAATGCTGGTCATTAAAACAATTTGTTGAGATAGCTACATTTATTTTTCTAGAATTATAGTAGCTTTGATAGTTTATTTTCTTCAAAATTGTCTCTGAGCATAGACACAAAAAAGACAAAATAATTTTTTGCTACAAAAATAATTTTAAGGGCCTCCCTGGTGGCGCAGCAGTTGAGCACTGGGTTGCGAAGCTGCACGCAGCCTCTGCAGCACCGGTTCTATCCCCGGCTGCTCCTGGGCCACCCAAGGAGGGTCCCACATGGCTCTCAGACCTCTCCTGCCTCCCGCTGCTCCCCTCAGCAGTGTACTTCGGGCCTTCTGCCTGCTCTGCTCCCCGCTCTGGCTCTGGTGAATTCTCTCACCCTCCTGTGCTTCTGACGGTACCCAATGCTTGTATAAATAAATAAATAAATAAATCTTAAAAAAATAATAATAAAATAAAATAAAAAAATAAAAGGAAAGCATCTTTAAAAAATAATTTTAAGTTTACTCATTAAAAACAGTGGTTTATTTTAAAACCATCATCCTTTCGGATTTTCAAGTGTTGTGCACACTTCACTTTATTCATCTATAGAGCAGAAACACTGGAAATGAGAAAATAGAAGGATGTATGACTTTTTATGCACCTAACATCCTATTTTAATTTATTCATAATTTAATCATGACCAAAAAAGTTCACAAAATTGAATACTGAATGTTCATTAAAATTGTGCCCTGTGAGACTTATCTTAGTTTTTTTCTCTTGTGAAATAATTGCATACTGCATTATGATTCTTGTTAGGGCACTAGCTACATTCAAAATAGGTCTCTTAACTTAAAAAATACAAACCCAATAGTCATTAAATATTTTAATATTACAATGGCCTGTGGCTACTCTGCTGAATTTTACATGTTCCTTTGACTCAATAGAGTGGGAATAACATTATATGTTATATGTTTAGTCAAATTATTTTTTATTATAATGGCAGTAACACTTTTAAATTTTATTTATTTTATTATCTACTTCTGTTGAGATAACATGGGTTTACGATACTGTACATGATTCAAAGTTATAGGATCACATCTTTCAACTATATTTTACTATAATACAACTACCAGAAGTGCAACAACACTCCTCTAGCACAGTCCTCTGGACCCCCTCCACAAATTGTTCTCCATCACCTGCCTCCCTCAATGGTCGCCTGAAATTTAGTTACATTTCTAAAATTGTCTTCTAGTTGGTTTTTGAGACACTTTGTTTTGTTTCTCTGTATTGTACATATGGAAAAACCATCCAGTATTTTTCTCCTTCTGATTTATTTTGTTTAGCATAATTGCCTCCAGTTCCATCATGTTGTTAAAAATAGCAAGAGTCTATTGTTGTTGTTGTTGTTTTAATGCTGAGTAGTATTTCGTGTATATTGTGTGCGTGTGTGTATAAAATCTTATTAAACCACTCATGTGTTATTGGGCACATAGGTTGTTCCCATAACTTGATGGTAAACAATGCTGCAATGACCACAAGCATGCCTTGATCCTTTCATATGGGTGTCAGTGCATTATTTGGGTAGGTAATTAAGTGTGGAATATTGCTGGCTTTTATGGTAGATGTATTTTTTAATATTTGAGATACTTCTATACTATTTTCCTTAGGTGCTGGACCAGTATATAGTATCGCAACAGTATGTGAGGATTCCTTTTTCTTCAGATTCTTGTTAACACATGTTTCTGGTCTTTTTGATATAGGCTATTCTCACAGGTTTGAGATAGTATCTCATTGTGGTTTTGGTTTGCACTTTCCTGTTTTCTTTTTTCTTTTTTTTTGAAAGATTGATTTATTTATTTATACATGCACTGGGTACAGTCAGAAGCGCGGGAGGGTGAGAGAATTCACCAGAGCCAGAGCAGGGAGCAGAACAGGCAGAAGGACCAAAGTACACTGCTGAGGGGAGCAGCGGGCAGCAGGAGAGGTCTGCGCGCCATGTGGGACCCTCGCCCTACAGCGGGGGATCGAACAGGGGCTACAGAGGTTGCGGGCAACCCAGTGCTCAAGCGCTGCGCCACCAGGGAGGCCCATACTTTCCTGTTGATAAGTTATGAAAACATGTTTTATATGTGCCTATTATTTGTGTTCCTTCTTTGGAGAAGTGTACATTTTGCCTTCACTGCACATTTTAATTTTTTTTTTTGGTTGTTTGTGTACACTCTGTAGATGGTGCATATTAGCCCATTGTCAGATGTAAGGTGTGCAAATATATTCTCCCATTTAGTAGTGTGCCCTTTTTTTTTCAATAATAGCATCTTGCATTATGAAATTTTTCCCCTTTATTTACTTCTTATTATTTTTTAAAGATTTATTTTATTTATACAACAGTTGGGGTACAGGCCAGATGCACAGGAGGGTGAGAAGACTCACCAGAGACAGAGCAGGGAGCAGAACAGGCAGAAGGACCAAAATACACTGCTGAGGGGAGCAGCAGGCGAGACAGGAGAGGTCTGCGGCACCATGTGGGAATCTCCCTGGCTGTGGGGAATGGAAGCCGTGCTAGAGGCTGCGGACAGCTTCACAGCACGGTGCTCAACCCGCTGCGCCACGGGGGAGGCTTTAGTTCCCCTGTTTTTGCTCTTATTTCCTTTGCTGTTGGAGTAGAGTCCCTAAAGACATCACTGAAATAATGTATTGGAGTACTTCCCCTATGTTTTCTTTTTTTTTTTTTAAGATTTTTTTTATTTATGCATACAAGAGCTGGGGTGACTGGGGTATAGACCAGAGGCACGATGTTGTGAGAGGATTCACCAAAGACAGAGTGGGGAGCAGAACAGGCAGATCTACTGAAATACACTGCTGAGACAAGCAGCAGGCAAGACAGGAGGGGTCTGCTGTGCCAAGTGGGACAGCTCCCTGGTGGTGGATTGAACTCAGGCCTCAGTAACTGGTGATAGCTTGATGGTGCTGAGACTTAACCTCTGTGACACCATAGAGGCTCCTGCCCTATGTTTTCTATTTAATGGTTTCACGTCTTACATTCAGTTCTTTAATCCACTTTGAATTATGTTTTTAAATGATGTGAGCTTGTGATTTAATTTTATTCTTTTGCATGTGACTATTCAGTTTTCTAAACAATATTTGTTGAAGACTTCCATTTTTCCATTGTATACTCATGAATCCTTTGTTGTCAATTAACTTCCCATATATATGGGATCCCCCCCCCTTTCATCATATTCTATTCATCTCTGTGTCTATTTTTATTCTGATGTCATATTGTTTTGATTACTCTACCTTTGTAGTTTAGTTGAAGCCTGGGAGTGTCATACCTCCATTCATTGTCTTTTTTATCAAGATTTATAACTCTTTTTAAATACTGATATTTCACATGCACACACACAACTGTGTTAAGTTAATGTGAGGTCATCTTATAATAATAAAATCATTTTTATTTAATATAAATATTTATTTTAATGAATACCATTTAGAAATTTATCCATAGTATGGATTTCTAAATTTTTACTTTGAAAATTCCCTTGGGCTTTATTAAATAGCCTTGGAACAGTATAAACTTTTAAATTTGTTATGTTGTGTTAATGTAGGATTTGAAAGTATTCTTCTTCCTACTATGTGAGAAACACACTTGTTTGAGAAACCAACTAAGTCAATCTTTGAAATAGATCAAGTGTCAACTGCCTTAGTGGAACAAAAGCAATAACCAGAGTTAGGTCTCTGCTTCTAGAGTTTTTCCACTAAATTGCCTTATAAATCAGTAGACTGCAAACATATATTTATGAAAATTAGAGGTGTGATCTCAATTTCTTTAACACCTGTGTTTTTCTAAAAAGATCTTCCATTCAAGCCAATTATGTCTTCATATTGTTTCAGTATAAGAATAAGTTAGATGACATCAAGTAAAATTATTCCCAGGATATCATACCATATTTATCCTGTGGGTTATTTTTTCTTAGAAACACATTCTTCCATAATAATGTCTAAGAATTTTTGAAACCGTTGATTATAATACTGTGTGTTGAATTGTTCTTGATTTGTAGATATTTTGTATTAGTAAATATTAAAATTCAGCTTATCTTTTCTGAATGTAGGAAAATTAGGACAAAATAACCCAAAAGTCTTCTGATAATGTTGGAAGATATCTGGAGGATTAATAAATATGGTAAACCTGAATGTATGATAATCTAAAGTTTATTTTCTCATAACCTCTTTTGTATGAATTTAACTTCTGTAAATTCAGTGTGCTGGCATTTTATAATGTTAAGTACTCATTCAGATTTTTAAAAAGAGTTGATTTCAATTTTCATTTTTCATTTTAGGGCAATTATCACTGAAACCTTCAGCAGCAAATTTACCACTTTCCAACTCTATTAAAAATAACTCCAGCTGCCTTTTCTTCTCTCATTTTCGACCAAGAAGTGTAGCTGTTCAATCATTATCTAGAGCTGCTTCTGAAATTTCAGAAATTGAATATGTAGACATCACTGACAATAATGAGCCTTTCTTAGATGGCACTGCTGAGCAAGAAACCTTAGACAGTTTGGAAAAAGAATTAATTATGCTGAGAAATCTTGCAGGTAGTGCTATTTTTCTTTCTTTCTTTCTTTTTTTTTTTTTTTTTTTTGATGTGAACAATGTTAACTGTGCTGATTCTCCATATCCCGTGACAAGAGAACTAGTTATCAAACAGAATGACCTTTTTTTCTCTTTTAACCATTGTACTTTGTGTCCATTTCTCAGAAATCTCACTATGTCATCCTGAAAATGTTAAAATGTGTGAATGATCACCCTCACCAGAGATAGCACCCCTTAGGGCGTGTGATATATTTGAATTGTGGGCTAAGGATCTTCATGTGAACCTCAATTTTCTTCCTCCATTCTACAAACTCACTGAGTTGCTTATCTCTATAGCTTTATGAAAGCTGGTAACCAACATTCTTGTCAGAGACTCAATCTTTAAAAACAGTGTTCCTTAAACTCTAATACTTGTTTAATTCCACAAGGGATTCTGATTCAGTATGTTAGTGGTGGGACTGGATATTCTGCATATCTAACAAGTAGTTGGTGCCAATGCTGCTGGTTGGCAGACCATAGATTGAGGAGAAATTATAGTTGTGCATTCTATTTCCTAAATCTCAATGAAAGTAGTCTAACACATAGTAACCATATTCTTGAATATGCAAAGGTTCAGTAAAAATTATGGGAAGAAATCCTCATAATTATCATCAGAAAGTCATTCATGCAATTGAATAGAGCAGCTGTAAGTCCAAGAAGAATTTCTATGGGCCGGTACATTTCATACTTAACTGCTGCTTTTTTATATTAGTGATACCTTCTCTTATTCACCTTAGAATAAAAAAAAATGCTATATTCCTGAATAGGAGGCATCTTAGTTTTCAAAAATACAAGCAATAGAAAAAATATAATATAGTAAGCCACAATCTTACTACTATGAAAACAACCATTATTAACATTTGTAAGCATTATTTAAAAAAAAGTCCCTGTGTATAGCATAAGTATACATATATCAATTTATTGTTTGAAGGATGAGTAGACTGAAGGGAAGATTGTAATTTTATAAAATGTAGATTTACACATTATACAATTAAAATACATAATCTACCTAATTTAGTAAAATAAAAATTGAAATGAAGCTAAGAGAAACCATATATTTCAATATATTTTCACCAAAAAATAAGTTGGATTAGGGCCTCCCCTGGTGGCACAGCGGTTGAGCACTGGGCTTCGAAGCTGCCCGCAGCCTCTGCAGTGCCTGTTCGATCCCCGGCCACCAGCGAGGGTCCCACATGTCACGCAGACCTCGCCTGCCTCTCCCACTGCTCCCCTCAGCAGTGTATTTCGTCAGTCTGCCTGTTCTGTTCCCCGCTCTGGCTCTGGTGAATTCTCTCACCCTCCCGAGCTTCTGACTATACCCAGTGGTTGTATAAATAAATAAATAAATCTTTAAAAAAATAAATTGAATTATGTAAAGCTGCTTTTTCAGAGGCAAAAGATATTGGCATACTGGTGATTTTATATGACTCAACTTGCAATTTGTTCAAATATCCTTTTAAAATTAAAGGGGAAGTTTAAAAAATGTGAACTGTTGAACATTTTTTTAAAATTAAAGTATCATTGGTTTATAATACTTTTTGTGATTTGAAGAGATAGAATATCCTCTTCAGATCTCTGTTACCACAGCAACCCACCATAGATCATAGGGTCCCCACTGACTTTGTTCTCAGTCCAACCCTCCTGCTTAGTGGTTCCATTTTTTTTTAAGATTTATTTATTTATACAAGAATGGGGGTACAGGTCAGAGGCGCCCAGGGTGAGCGAATTCACCAAAGAGAACGGGGAGCAGAACTGACTGAAGTCACTGCTGAGGGGAGCAGCAGGAGAGGCAAGAGGTCTGCCACACCATCTGGGTTTCTCCCTGGCCTGCAGGGAATGGAACCCCCGCTGCAGAGGTTGCGGACAGCTTCACAGTGCATCGCTCAACACTCTGCACCACCGGGGAGGCCCAGTAGTTCCATTTTAATCTAGAGGATTTAGTTTCAAACATAATGATCAAATCCCTATAGTAAAAAGATGAGCATCATTTGTTGTTTTTTGTTTTGCTTTGTTTTTTAACCAGAATTGATCTAGATTGTATTATGTACAAGTCATGCTATTTTTTTCAGATTTGTATTGTCTTATAAATGAAAATTAATATGGATTAAAACCTCAATACTAGCATTCAAAAATGCATTACTATGTATTGAGGTAATGTTGGTATGTGATACCATATAAGGTTCAGAGATACAAGTACACATCTCTTCAGATGTATATTACTTTATCGCTGCCACCACCAGGGCACTGAGAATCCTCTACGTCAGTCCATTGGAGAACTCTATACTTAGTTCCCTGCACCACCTATCCCCTCTGGTAGGTTGCCTCAGTTCTGTAGTCAAATTTTTAAGTTTTGCTTTTTGTTTTTGTCTCTTTGTTTTTCTATATTGCACATGTGTGTGAAATCATCCAGTATTGCACTGGGTACAGTCAGAAGGGTGGGGGGGTGAGAGAATTTGCCAGAGCCAGAGCAGGGAGCAGAACAGGCAGAAGGACCAAAGTACACTGCTGAGGCTCCCCTCAGCAGCGGGTGGCAGGAGAGGTCTGCGCGCCGCGTGGGACCCTCGCCCGTTGGCCAGGGAACGAACCGGTGCTGTAGAGGCTGCGGGTAGCTTCGCAACCCAGCGCTCAACTGCTGCGCCAGCAGGAAGGCCCTGGATATATATTCTTAATTCACTCATCTGTCTTTGGGAACTTAGGTTGTTTTCTTAACTTGGCTGTTTTAAAGAGTGCTGCAATGAACATAAGATGCATATCCCTTTGCATATATTCCTTTGGATTAGTGTTTTACATATTTTTTATAGATGCCTATGTGTGGAGTTGCTGAATCCTATGATCGTAAATTAATCTTTTGAGAAAACCTCCACACTGTTTGCCTTAGAGGCTTTACTAGTCTACATTCCCACCAACAGTGTATGATGATTCCTTTTTCTCTACATCCTTACCAACAACATAGGCCACTGTGCTTTCTGACACAGGCCATTTTCACAGGCAGAGTGTTGTTGTGTTGTGATTTTAACTTACATTTTCCTGATGATCAGTGTCTATGAACATAGTTATGTGCCTGTTGGCTGGCCATCTGTATATCTTCTTTGGGGGAGTGTCTAGTTGTCATTCAACTTTTTGATTGAGCTTTTTGTTTTCTTCTTGCTTAGTTGTTAGTGTTCTCTGTAGACCTTAGATATTAGTCCCTTCACTGTACAGAAACTTTTAGTTTGCTGTAGTCCCATTTGTTTGCTTTTGCTTCTTTCTCTTGACTTAAGCAGTGAATTGCCGAAGACTTCACTGAAGCTAATGTTGTGGAGTGCTATTGCTTTGTTTTCTAATATATTTTAATATTTTAGGTTTTGCATCCAAGTCTTTAATTTTTTTTTTTATTTATTTTTTGTGTGTATGCATGGTGTGAGATACTGGGCTAGGTTCATTGTTTTGCATGTGGCTGTCGAGTTTTCCCATACTGTTTGTTGAAGAAACTTTCCTTTCTCCATTGTATTTTTTCGGCTTTGTCATAGATTGGCTGTCCAGTTAAATGTGGGCTTATTTATAGGTTCTTAATTCCATTACAAGTTTTAAAGATTTATTTTATTTATTTATGCGTATAAGAACTGGGATCTACAACAAAAAACTACGAACCAGAGACACTTTTAGGGGGGCGGGGGTGGGAGCGAGGGATTGGGGTCAGAATGGGGGGGCTGCAATTGTATGGGGAATATAAAAATAAAATTTATTATTAAAAAAAAAAAAAAAGAACTGGGATCTAGCCAGAGGTGGAGGGGATGAGAGGATTCAACAGAGACAGATTGGGGAGCAGAACATTGCTGAGGGTAGCAGTTAGTGAGACAGGAGAGGTCTGCTGCATTATATGTGGGTTAGCTTCCTGGCCAGATCAGATCGAACTCAGATCAGATCGAACTCAGACCGCAGTGGCTGGTGAGAGCTTCATAGCGTTGAGACTTTAACCCCTGCACTACAGGGGAGACCCCTATTCCATTACTTATACATAAGTGTTTCTTCTAATATAATACTATTTTGATCACTATAGCTCCTTATTATAGTTTGAAATCTAGGATTGTCTATTTTCATTTTTGTCAGGGCTGTTTTGGGTATTTGAATTCTTTTGTGCTTCGAAATTAAATTTTAGTAATATTTGTTCTATTTCTTTGTATAAAGTCATTGTAACTTATATATGCATTGCATTGAATCTATGCATTGCTTTGAGAGACATGACCATGTTAACAATGTTGATTATTTCAGTCCATCAGCAGTAAATATATTTCCATTCATTTGGGTGTTCTATTTCTCTTAATATATTACAGATTTCATCATGTAAGTCATTTACGTCCTTTGGTATGCTTTTTCATATTATTTAAATCTTTCACATTGGATACTAAATTGGGTTGTTTATTTGATTTCATAAACTTTCAATACATTTTTTCCACATAGAAACACAACCAATTTTTGTATATTATTTTGTGGCTGCCCACTTTATTGTACTGAGTTTTGTTTATAATATTTTTAAGTGGAATCTTTAGGGTTTTCTATATATTATTATGTCATTTGCAAATAGTCATAGCTTTATTTCTTCTTTTCCTTCATTACTTAAACATATTTATTTTGCCAAATTGCTTTAGCTAATAGTTCTAATACTACATCAAATACTTATGTTGTAAGTGGGGATCCTTGCATTGCAGATGAACTTACAGGAATTGTTATTAATTTCTCACCACTGTGAATGATGTTACCTAGCATTTGTCCTATTTATTATGTTCAGATATATTCCTACTATCTACATAATTATTTAAAGTTTTTATCATAAATGATTTTTGGTCTTATTAAATACTCTCTGCATCTATTGATATGATCATATGGTCTTTAATCTTTCCTTTTGTTGATATGGTGAATTACTTCCATCAATTTTCAGATGCTGAACCAATTGTGTCACTGGAATAATTCCCATTTGGGATGT